ATGTGCTGTGCGAAGTCTGCAAAAATGGATGCACGTCGATTTTGTTGCTGAAAAGGAATACCCTCTATCCCTTGCTATAGAGTCTAGTCTGTTTATTTCATCCTGCAGATGGTCAAAGTTTCCATCAAGTGCGGCGGTGGAGAATATGCAGAGATCGTCTACATATAAGAGGGGTTGAATGTTCGGAGGAGTGCTATCAACCAGGAAGTTAATGGCTACGATGAATAGTGAAACACTTAGAACGGATCCTTGTGGAACGCCATTTTCCAACCTCCTTGTCGAGGACCTGGAGTCTCCGACCTGGACTCGGAATGAGCGATGAGACAAGAAATTTTGGATAAGTTTTGGGAGATTGCCATGAAGACCCCATTCGTGGAGCTGTTTCAGAATACCGAAGCGCCAGGTCATGTCGAACGCTTTTTCCAGGTCAAACATGACTGCCGTTAGGTGACGCCTTTTAATGAATGCATCCTGGACTGCGTTTTCAAGATTTACGAGTGCATCTACCGTGGAGTGGTACTGCCTGTAGCCGACCTGATTGTTTGAGATCAGCTGGTTATGTTCTAGGTACCATACTAGTCTAAGACTTATCATTCTTTCAAAGAGTTTTCCCAGGCAGCAGGTTAGCGATACAGGTCGATAGCTGTTAGGTGAAGTAGGGTCTTTACCGTCTTTGAGAATGGGTACTATAATGGCAACCTTCCAGGCATCAGGGTATATACCTCGCACCCACGCATTATTGAATATCTGTAGTAACTGAGTTTTGACAGACCTTGGAAGGTTTCGAATCATGCAGTAAGGTATCATATCTATACCCGGTGCAGAGTCTTTACAGTTCTCTAAGGCAGACTCGAGTTCTTCATATGAGAATGGTACATTGTATAGATGTAGTTCTGATGTGTCAAAATTGATTCCCTGTGCTTCGGAATTTAGTTTGAGCTGCTGAAAGTTGGGATCATAATTTGCATTGCTGCTGGCGTGTTCAAACTGGTCTGCAAACGTGTCGCATATGCAAGAAACATCCTCGATTACCGAATTAGCTACCTTCAAAGCGCTTGGGGGTCTAAACGGATTCCTGCCTGCAATAACATTGATCTTTTGCCACATCTGTTTGATAGGTGTTTCAGAAGTTATAGACGAGACATAAGTTTCCCATGATTTCTTTTGGCTCTCATTTATGAGTCTTCGTGCTTTAGCACGTAGTTTTTTGAAAGAGATCATGTTGGCCATGGTTGAGTTGCGCTTGAATCTATTCAGAGCGGTTTTCTTCTCGTTGACTGCATTCTGAATGTTTTCATTCCACCACGGCACAGCTTTATTAGATGAGGTCCCGGATGTCATGGGAATGCTAATCTTTGCTGCATCTGTTATAGCGTGTGTGATATCGTCCACTGCTGTATTAATGTCTTTAGTTAGAGGAGGGATACGAAGGTGCTCAGAAAATGTGTTCCAATCAGCTTTCGCAGTCAACCATCTTTTATGTGACGGATAGAAAAGTTTGGGGACATCCGTTGTTATGATGATTGGAAAGTGATCACTAAAATTGAGATCATCTAAGACCTTCCAGGATAATCTAGTAGCCAGTTGTGGAGAGCATAGTGAGAGATCTATAGCAGAGGATCCAGCTGTTCTGATATCGAAGTGCGTAGGAGACCCTGAGTTCAATAGAACTAAGTTCGATGAATCAATGTATTGCTCTATAGTTCGTCCCCGGATATCTCTGCGCATAGATCCCCAAAAAGGTGAGTGCGCATTAAAATCGCCCATCAAAATAATTGGTCTTGGAAGCTCTGATAGAAGCCTGTACAACTGATCAATATGCCAATCGCCATCAGGTAAGTATAAGCTACACAATGTAGCAGCAAATGGCGTTGTGATGCGAACTGCGACAGCTTGAAGTTCCGTATCCAGTCTCTGTTCCTGCGCTATGATATTCTGCTTTACGAGTAAGGCCACACCACCTCGTGCTCTGCGGTCTGGTATGACATCCTTGCGGTAAGTATTGTAGTTTCTAAGAGAGAAAGATGTCTCTGGACGGAAATGGGTTTCCTGTAATGCAATACAGAAAGGATCGTTCTCCCTAACCATCACACGAAGTTCATTCAGATGAGACACACAACCATTGCAATTCCATTGCATTATGTTTTGCATATTGTACTAAAAAGTTTAACTCCTACAATTAAAATATGGAGAAACTATCCCAAATACGGGATGTAAAGTTAGAAAATAATGTAAAAGTAAATATTAAATAAATATATAAATACTTGGACAAGTAAACAAATATCAAAATTAAGGTGAATAAATTAACATAGAATTAAATATTAAAAATTTAACTATCTATTATCACAGGTTCATCACAGTTAGGTTCGCTTCCAATCTGGTTGTCTCCAGATTGTGGGTTTGAAGCATTAGGTTGTCCACAAGACGCAGTACTAGTTCTTGCGTTGATTTGATCTGGCTTGGTTTGAGCTGGAGCAGCCCTCTTTCGGGGTCTACCCTTCGGCCAGCCGCGCTTGCCTTTTCTGGATTCTGGGTCGTCGGTCTGAGATGACGTTAGACTTGCATCAGAGAGATCTGACCCATCAACAGGTGAGGATGCCTTTCTTTTTGATTGATTAGAGGCATCTGATTGGCTGTGGTTTCTAAGAGACAAGCTATGTGATACTTTTGGCTGAGGTGTAACGAATTGAGGTTGCTCAATTTCATGGAAATCTTTGCCTTTCAGTGCTTGAGAAATCGAAGATTGGATGATATTAGTCAGACGTGGGATGATCTTTTCGATAATATCATCATCCTGGCTCTTTTGCGTGGCTTGTGCATACGACACGTTTGGTTGTGGAGTATGCACCACCACCTTTTTCTTGGCCTCAATATAACTTATTTTGTCAGTAGCGATCAGTTTCTGAATAGCCAATTCTGTTTTGTATCTTGGGCATTCCTTCGATGAAGCCACGTGAGGCCCGTGACAATTTAGGCACTGTACCGGGCGATCACATGGTCTTCCCATGTGTAACTCCTTTCCACATATGCATACCTGTTCATTTTGGCAAGACAATGACGTATGGCCGTACCGTTGGCATCTGAAGCAGCGTACTGGTGGGGGAATATACTGCCGAACATCAAGTTTATACATAGCGCATTTAAGTTTCGATGGTAATCTGGGGGAGTTGAATGTGATTATGTGATTTGGAGTATCACGCAGTTCATTGTCCCTCTTGACTCTAATTCTCTGTACATGTATTACTCCTTCTGATTTCAGTTCCTCGAGAATTTCAATTTCAGGGCAATTTAAGAGATCTTTGCAGTACACCACCCTTTGCTAGAATTTAGCGTTGGGTGGGCTTCTACTGTGACAGGAATATCTGTAAAATGCTGTATTCTTATGAGTCTGTGAGACTGGGCATCTGTTTTTGTTTCCACCAATATGCCAGCTTTAATCTTTTAACAGAGTTAGGGTCTCCTATTATACCATTTATGGTCTTAGAAATAAGGAATGGACTAACTGTTGCAAAATTATCATTATCAACTCTCTTGATGACAAGGAACCGGGGGACGGGCCCATCCGTCTCCTTGACATTATTGTTCGGTCCAGTGGAAGCTCTACATGTAGCTCCACCTTCGCCATCGTTGCCTACATTTAGGGGGGCAGGCACACCCTTGGTTTTTGTTTTGTTTGCCATGCGAATGCAGATCTTCACTTCCTCGGCTCCCCACCCTCCGTGGAGCCTCAACGGGAGATTGTGCTCATTGTCGCCTTCCGCTAGAACACAACCCCAGGGATACCGTGAATGTCGAAACAAAGGAAGTATAGTCCCCACAGATAGCTCCACCATACATCGAGGATAGCAAACCATCCTCGTCTGGCTTCTACTACCTGTGGAGGCTCGCCCAGCCAGCCCTCTGACGGGATGGCACAGCCGATTGACCAACGCTGGGCTAGGCGTGGCCGCCCTTCTAGACTGACCGCCGGACCAAAGTGGCGTGTTGCCCCCCTGACTGGTAGGGCTCAACCACCAGGATTCCATTGGCCAGCTTACGGGTCGCCGGGCACGGCACAAACACCCGGGAGGCTAAGAGGAAGCCCCACGCGCCGCCTCAACGCATGGAGTAAGGAAAGGACAAGGAAAGTCGTGAGGGCAGCGGACAGCTGCACAGGATATAATAAAAGGAGAAGGATGGGAGAAAGGGGGAAGGAAAAGCCCAGGGTTGGCAGAATGAATAAGACTACCAAACCCCGAACTCCCTGCCTGGGGCCGTGGGGGCGACGCTCCCCATGTATCTTCCCTTGAACCGGATCAAAGATCCAGCTTCAAAAGTAGATACCCCCTGCGGGGAATTATTATTATTATTATTATTATTATTATTATTATTATTATTATTATTATTATTATTATTATTATATTATTATTATTATTATTATTATTATTATTATTATTATTATTATTATTATTATTATTATTATTATTATTATTATTATATTATTATTATTATTTATATTAT